GAAAAGGCTGATCTAATCTGCAGATAAGATAAGGGTTTATCCTTATCACCTAAAGGGATGTCTGATCCAAATAAGATTTGGATCAGCAACTCCTAATGGGATTAGGAGTTGATCCTTTAAGGTCACAAAACAAGGAAGGGGCGGCAGCCTTGAGATTATCACAAGATCATCAGATCACTGCAAGTCTTTAGAGCTGAAATCATAGAAGAGAGAATTCAGCATACCTGCGAAAATTCTCTCTTGCCGCCTCCTTCCTGCCGCCGCCTCACCTACCAGTTCGACCTCCTTTTCAGTGGGAGAAATCAAGATTCGATCTTGATATCAGTTCCTTGTGAAGGGACTGATGGGAAGCTGTGCTCACGTACCATCCTGCTATTTCTTGCGAGGGAACAGGTTCTTGGAGAAAAACACTACTGATTCTTGCTCCATCCTAAACTGCGCCATCTTCAATGAGAGCAGTCTTTGGATCATTCCTTGGGCGTAAACACCTCCGTTGGGAGATATTACTTCTCCGTATCAGGTATAATCATCTCCTACTGCTTTTTTTCAGATCTAGTTCAGTTTATGGTTCAAGATTGATCATTGAAAATATGATTTTCTAAATAGGAAATGCGATTCTCAATTGAAAGGGAGAGAAATTTTTTAATATTTGCCCACTTTATTCCGCAAGATTTGGGCGTCCATACGATGGATCTCTCATCCCTTCAAAATTGTCCTTTGAAATATTGTTCATCATCTTCCTCAGGAATTAAGATTGAACCAAAGCATTGGTGAACAACTACAAACCCGTTGGGGTTTCAACACTTGTTACATTCATTAGTTGGGGATTTGAGGGGAGTCATTTGGTGTTTGTAGGAGTCAGATGATTACCATTCCCTTACAAAATTATACAAAAAACTTCATACCTCTATTTCATTTTCTTGAGGAAGAAGATGAATAATATTTTGGATGGTTGATAAAGAAAATTAGATGACACCCAAAGGGCATTTGTATCTTTTTACATGCCATTTAATGGTTGGTTAACGACAAGTACTGAATTGACATATTTTGAAAGTTCAGACTTTAGATAATGAGTTGTTGCATTTTAAAATTTGGGGGCCAAAATAGCACTAGGCCCAAAGTATAGGATACTAATTGGGAAATTTTCAAAAATAGTTATTACATTTGTGTATCTTACGGTTTAAACATGTCAAATGCAAATTTTGTGTCTTGTGCATATCCTATGCATAAATACATACATATATATATATATATATGATATAGGCTCGGGTTGGGTTGAGTTTGGAAAGGCCTCAACCCTAATCTAACTTGAAGTTATGCCGGGTTGTTGAGGGTTGTACCTTTCAACAACCCTTACCTCAAACTCAACCCAATACTACCCAAGTCATAGCCCCATCGATGAGATCATGACCTCGTGGGATATGGAAGGGTGATTTAACTTTTAACACTGTGAAATGCACTTCTAAGCAAATTATACGATACAAGGCAACCGCTTGGCTGAGGACACACCCAAGCTTTGGGGAAAAGGAGAGTCCGATATGCCCATGCATGGAGAGGCAAGATTATAGTGTGAAGTCATAGCCATCCCTCACGCAATCATGCTGAACCTCCAAAGAGTTCCATCACCCCACTTGAAATAGAATGTACGCTTTTGAAAATCTACCCAACGAATCATAACTGAGAAATAATGCTGGCACTGTTTACAAAAACGCCACTAACATGGCACACCAATTGCCAATCCCCGAATTTCTTACACTATATATTGTGCTGTAACAACTGCATTGGGATTCCGGTGTGCAAAGATACATGTTTGGAAAATTTGTAAATACTAAGTTGAACTAGCTTTGCTTGTAAACCGTTAGGAGGCTAAATAAGAATGACAAATAATGTATTCCGAGTTTTAATTTGTGTTTCAATACAACCAATTGAAACAACATTGTTAAAAAAATAAAAATAAAAATCACTCCTAATAACCAAAACTCATATAATAGATAAAAGTATCACTCTTCCCCTTCGGCTTCTATTGCCCCCAACTGAGCAGATTATTAAGAGAGGTAGAATATACCCGCATGACGTCTATCGCCTCAAGGTCTGTAAGATGTACTGAGCATAAAGGTCCCTGCACCACAGAAAAGAGACCATATTAGGATCCCGATCTGTCCTAGTAAGTGGTTGATGTGCATGTGTGTGTTTGCTCCCTTTAGAAATATGGAGGCGGGCTATTGCTATGAAATACATCCAGCTGCTACACAGCCTACACCCATCTCTATTCTCTAGCAAGAGTGCAAAAGACCATCTGCCATAGAATTTATACATCCTTGGTATCCAATAAATTGAGTTGAGATGTTCTCTGAGGATCTAATCTATAATTTTGTTGAGGTAATGAGTCCACCAGGCTGCTTGCCAAACTTTGATTCCATGAGATCATGAACTCTCTTCTATCTCTGTTAACTCGCCTTAGTATGATTTATCTTTGCCGCCTTTGCCATTTCTGATGTAAATTAGATATAGGGAAAATTACCTTCTGCTACCTCATTTTAAATCCTTTTCCCATACATTATTTTTGAATCTCAGCCATTAATTTAAACTCCTTTTAGTTTCACCTTTACTTGAGTCCTTCCATTCCTATGGTAGGATTTCATCGTGTTATATGGCAGGAAGTAAACTACTGCTTAAACCCAGACTTGCTCAGATACATACAACTCAAACTGTAGTAGTCATGATGCTCATACCGGCCCCAAGGGATTAAAAAGTGGCAGTTTGTTGAATAGGACCAACACAATGATCATGGCACCTAAAAACAAGCTGTATGTAAACACATGGCATCCAAGATCCTAAAAGTCTGCAAAGCAAAACCTTATGAATGCCCTAATTAATAAGCAAAGCAAAGGAATAAGGGGGTGACACATGGCAGGACAACATGTAGGAGCTCAGGAGAGGAAAGAGCACGCCATTCGGTACCGAGTTTCTTCACGCCTCTCCTGTAATAACTTGTGCTGAGCTGGCATAACCAACCAAGACGCTACTGGAGGGATATGCATTTATAAAAGAGTGGCAACACAGCTAATGAGAACAACCAACAATCCAGCAACACATTCTGTTGGGGTTATATAGCTCTCCAGAGAATACTTCCCCCTCAAGGACTTCATTGTTCACCGAGAAACCCTAATCCCCTTAGTCTGCAGCTCCCCCACAAAACTCATCCCTTCTTTTCTACTCCACTCAGGTTGCAAATGGCAACTTTCAGAACACTAGAGACCACCGACATACACTGCCTTACACAAGGATTAGAAGAAAGATCTCAAACTTTGGAACCAAGGTTACTGCATAAACAGATTCCTACGAACAAGGAGATGAATCAGAAAGTGAGTTACCAGTAATCACCACCTACTCTATGCCCCAACAAGTTCATAGTCTAACGGTTTGTTCTTTGAGAATACAATCATAGCCCTAGGTTTTCGTTTAAATGTTTATAAAGGAACTATCTAATCTAAATCAGATGATTCCTAGTGTGTAATGCAGACCATATATATCCATGGGAGACTTGCAATTTTTCTCTTGCCAGATATCAATGTAATCAATGCCAAAGATCCCTCGGGTGGCATCCATCCACTGTATTCTGGGTCCTTGCATCTGGAATGTGTTATTCATATCCCCACTTTGATATTATGTCTTGCTTTACTAATTTTTTGCTTCTTTGAGAAAAGCTGTAACATGAGAAAACCAGCATCATTGAACATTGACATACTGAATGGTTCCCTCTTGTCCCATTTGCCCACAACATTAGAGCAAAAAACTAGGAGTTGCCAAAATTTTCTCTAAAATCTCATGATAGGCATAACCATTTATGGATTATTATTATCTCAAAGAGTTGTGCCCTTGTCCCATAGAGTCAAATCACTATATAAATAGGTCTGTCAATGGGTCTTGAACCAATTATGTCAGTTCTGATTTCATGATTTTGTCCCGATTAAATAATTGGGTTGTCTCCGATTCTTGCCTGTCCCAAACCTACTCAGACCCAAACCAATTATTTGATTAAATAATCAGTTCCTGGTCTGGGTCTGTGATTTTGTCCTGATTATGGTTGGTTCGGGACTGGAACCACCCTGTCCCAACTCAGACCCGAACCATTGACAGCTTTATATATAAAGAAGTGTCCCTTCTTCAAGCCTTTGGTAATTTTAAATAGATACGTTCAAAGACAGAATTGCAATTACAAGGTAACAAAGACAACAAAGAGGTGAAACAAAATGGTTTTGTTCAAGGAATAAAGTGTTTCATAGAAATAAGGACTTATTTTGGTAAATGGTAGTTTTGCCACTAAAAGGCTACATTTAATTGAAATTTATAGAAATTGGTTTTATTCTAAATGAGGGCATCTTGGTTTTTTGTGGAAACAACTGAACAGTTGAATTAATGTTAGGAATTCAAAAATAAGTCAGGTATATGCAATATTAAACATTTAGACAGTGAAAATGCAAAGGCGCAAATGTGGCAGATCAAAGCAATTTACTCTTGATTATATCTTCCATTTCTACAGTTGTAATAAGTGATCTTGGTTGTTTGATAAGTTGAGATAAACTTACATTGAGTGCTGGATGGCTTCCTGAGCAGCGTCTGAAGGCAGAAATTCATTAACTGCAACTTCTTTGTTCTCATTTTTCTTGTCTGGATTATTTGTCAAGAAAATATTCAAAAGTTTACCTCATGTGATATCAAACCTCAAATACGTGGAATGAAATTAAAGTAACCGAAAGTAAAAGCTAAAAGATAGAAGGGGTACAGTCTTCAAAGAATCGGCGGATCTCAGCCAGGCGATGAGGAGGAAGTTGTTTGATGTCGGTATAGTGACGATACTCTGGGTCATCAGCACACACTGCTATGATTTTATCATCTTTCTCTCCCTTTTTGATGCAAACAAAACAAAACCAATTATCAAAGCTCAGTTTCAAGGAAGGAACTGTTTGGGATTTACATCAACCATACCTGATCAATCATGGGCATGAGTCCTATAGCTCGGACTCGGAGAAAACAACCAGGGAGAACTGGTTCCTGTTTCCAAATGCCAATACAGTTTTGAATCAGTTGATTCTCTTCACTAACCACTATTAGTAATCATAACAGACGAAAGTGTAAAACAATTGTAAGGCCAGCTATGTTAGTGTTGGACAGTTAAGAAACAACATGTCCACAAAAAATGAGTGTGGCAGAAATGCATATGCTCAGATAGATGAGAGTTAAAACTAGAAAGGATAGGGTCAGAAAAGAAGTCATAAGAAGGAACATACAAGTAGCTACAATAGGTGATAAAATGAGAGAAAATAGATTGAGGTGGTTTAGCTATGTGCATACAAGATCATCTACAGCACCCATTAAAATAAGTGATCTGTTACAAGTTGAAGGGGCTAGAATAGCTAGGGGCAGACCAAAAAGGACTTGGATGGAAATAGTAAGAAGTGATTTAAGAGCCCATAATTTGACAGTGGATATGGCACTGAACAGAACGGAATGGCAAAATATGATTCATGTAGCCAACCCCATATAATTGGGACAGGGCTTAGGTGATGATGGTGTTTGTAATTGGGTTTAAAGGAAGGTTTTTGATATCAAAACTTTTTTCTGAAATTTCTCTGGACTAAAATATGTTCGATTTATCAATATGATTATGAATATATATTTTATATGTTTAAAATTCAGTTGACATTCAACCAAAATTTCCAAAACCATGATATTTAGCTATTGGTTTTCTTCACTCCAGGCAAAACCAAAGTTTCAAGAAATTGAAAGCCTTGGCCAACCTAAACAAATGAGAGAGAAGGGTCTGACAGAAAACAAGCCTTGCAGACATATATCGTCATATTCCACAGATATCAAATGCCAAGTACCAAGTAGGTTTGACGTACCTGCATGAGGATTAAAACATCCAGTGGATCATTGTCTTCGCACAATGTGCGGGGGATGAAACCATAGTTGTGAGGATACACCACAGAGGAATACAAGACACGATCAACCTGGCAACCATTTGACAGTAAGAACAATTGCAAGAAACTACAGGGATGTTAAAATGCAGGGATAGATAGTGCAATGAATGGCCTGATGATATGCCTTCAAGGTACCTTCCAATTTATAGTATAAAAAACAGTCTATAAATTAGTTAAGATTTGACACTTGCAATTTGTAAAATCTGGAAAAGCATTCCGAAATCCGAATGAGTATCACCCATTCACACCTTTATCAGTCCTGTCTTTTTGTCAAGCTCATACTTCACCTTGCTTCCTTTTGTGATTTCAACAACCTGCACCAGATAAATTAGTTCTTAAAACTTCAAACCTCATTTTAAAGTGCCAATATTTTCAGCATATATTCATATTTCAAACTGCATTTTGACTTGACAATGATAGAACTAAGGAAAGTAAAATAAGCAAGCGGCTATACAGAGAGGCACAACTTAAGTGTATCACAAGAACTAAGTGTTAGAATGAAATCACTACACTCTTATTCAGTGTCAGGTAAGCTTGGTAATTTGCCTTCCACTAGATGAAGAAAATGAGATTGCTGATAATAAGATTTTACTCTTCATTTCCCCTTGATTCCAGTGGTATCATGTTTCCACTCAAAATGTGAAAATACTTTAAATCACGACCAAACACAAATATTTATTCAATTGACAGAACCATTTGAGTGAATACATACACAATTGACAACTTGAGGAGCTCCAGGTCCTGCATACAAGATTTGTAAATGATAATTACTTTCAATGTGTTTATTATGTATACACAAAAAGCTCCAGGTGATGCAAAAAAAATGTCTATATTTATACCAATTTCAAGATCATGCCAAGGATGTGCAGCAACAGATCTCCTTGACAAGGATGAAAGGATCCTTTCATTCAGTTGTGGGACTGGACGTTGCTGTTGATCTTCCATACCCGCTTCACCACTCATATCTGTAACAAAAGCTAAAGATGATGATGATTATGATGTAGGGTTGGGATTGGGAAGTCTGGGAGTGGGAATTCTGTGGCACTAGAGATTGTGATGACAATGGAAAGTTTAAGCGTTTGGACTGTTTTGCTTGATGCAATTGTGATGGTTGACTATTTCATCAGCCACAGAAAGATAAAAAAGGGTACTGCCTAAAAATGGTCTTCGTGTCTGGTTACGGAAGATGAATGATATAATTTACTTCTATTTATTGGGAGTTTACTAGGGGAAGTTAAGATTACAGTTGACTTGGTAAAACTTTTGGCTTAGTAAAAGTTGACAAGAAAAATCAGGGAAAGAGAAAATAGCTCGGCTTAATGTTCATTGATGAAGACCCTTTATCTGTTTATTGATCCTTTCAATGGTCTGCAGATAAAAGAAGCCACTATGATGAAATATTTCATTTAAAAAAGGAAGTGGAGATATCTGACGCCAACAGGACCTAATGTTCCAAAGAGAGGGAAAAGATCTGAAAGTAAGTCTTGATTGAACTACATTAAGGTTCAAAAACATCACTTCTCTGTAATAAGGTGACAGTTCCAGGTTCTATATGGATCTGTAGATGAACAAAATTTGAATGCGGAAAACATAAATGCAATTAGAATGGTCAATAGAATATCAATGGCAAAAAGGCGGAGCAATAAACCCAACAAGATGAAGAAAATGGTCATCTGTCACTGTTCTCACCAAAGCACAAACAAAAAAGTGCGCATAATAGGAGGAGGGGATTAAGAAATAAGGAATCACAAAAGCAGAAAGATAATGCACCTTACGAGTTACGATCAAGGAAGAACCCTGGAAGAGGGAGTGAAATCCTGAGAGAGCCCGAGTCCTTATCAAATGGATGAAGGGGATGATGCTTAAGTCTTTCCAACGGGGTAAGACACAGTTGAGTGCAATAACGAGTGAAACTTTTTCTGTGCCTCTCTCCTCCTTATATAAGCAAAGATGGTCAAATCGCAAGGGCCACGCAGATACAAAATACCGTATTACCCGGTTATACTTACACAACAACTATTGTTTTGTATTGAGTATTGACCTTTCAACATTGTGTTAAGATTTAACCTGGTTCGAGATTTAATAGGTCTACGTCTACTCGCATCTCTTCCGGATCTCTACTGTATATATACCAGCGGGCCTCGAGAATTTGACTTAAAAAGTTAAAATTTATTAGGGTAAATTACAAAGACCCCATGGACTATAGGTTTAGTGACAAAGACCCCCTATATTTTAATTTGCAATAAAGACCACCTCTAAACTTTAGCCCTTACTAGGGGTGGCAACAAGACGAGCTCTTCATGAGTTACTCAAACTCGGCTCGGCTCAGTTTTAGCCGAGCTCGAGCCCAATTCATGAGTCTCCCAAGCCAATTCGAATATATATATATATATACAATTATAGAAAATAATATATATATATAATAAAAATATTGTAATTCTTAATTTGTAAATATCAAATAAAAAATATTTTTATATTTAATTTTTATTTTTATAAAACATTTTTTCTCAAAATCGAGCTTGAACTTACGAATTTTTTACTCGAGCCAAGCTCGAGCCTTGTACTATTCGGCTCGGCTCGAATCCACCCCTAACCATTGGACAAAGACCCCTTTCGTTAGTATTCCGTTAATTAATCTTGAAAAAGATTCTCATTTAACAGTTTAATTTTTTAAATCCCTAAACTACCCTTTTCTTGTATATTTGAACAGTGAGAAGAAATCACTGGCCAAATAATCTCAATTACTTAAACATCAGACATACCATAACACCTAAAAAGCACTAGTAGTGGACAAAATCACCATGGACGAGAACTAAAATTTCTCTAGCCAATAGAACTCTGTTATATATTCACTCAAGCATATATCTAAGATGTAACAAATGGCTTGAGGCTGCTGAGCTACTCTCCTACCTGTTGCAGATTCGAAAGCCCTCTCCTGATCAAAGTGAAGAGTAGAGAGATGGGTGAAGAAGAAGCCAAGGGTGGTCTTGTGGTTCCCGATCAAGTCAGTGCTGAAGAAGAAGAGAAAGGGAACCGAGGAATGGGCCCTGTAGGCGAAGAAGCAAGAGGTTGATGCCGCGAAGAAGAAGACTGGAGAGAATTGAAAGCTTATCTTCAAAAGAGCAATGCAGTACGCAAAAGAGTACGACGAGCAGCAAAAAGAGTTGATTCAGTTGAAGCATGAGTCTAAATTGAAAGGAGGATTTTATGTCAATCTAGAGGCTAAACTATGGTTTACCATCCGAATCCATGGAATCAATGCAATCACTCAAAGGCCAGAAAGACTTTGAAGCTTTTACGTTTAAGACAAATATTTAATGGTGTCTCTCTAAAGGTAAACAAAGCAAGAATGAACATGTTGCATCGGGTGGAGCCTTGAAGAGTGTTCGTAAATTGATCTACAAGAGGGGTACCATTATGGGAAGCTAAACAAACAAAGAATTGCATTGAATGACGATTCAATTATTGAACAGGCTCTATGGGATCATGACTGTTGGTCCCCACTTTAAGAGGCAAATAACTTCTTATGGCCATTTAAGCTCAAGGCTCCATTGGGTGAATGGGTGGGTTGAAAAAGAAGAGCATCCATTATGTTGAGGGAGGAGATGCTAGAAACCGTGAAGATTACATCAACTTGGTGGGGTGGCTTTATTTTCAATTCACAGGGAGGAATGATTGAATGATAAAGAACTCAATAGACAGTAGGTTGCTTGGTACAGTTATAATCGCAAGCAGTGTCTAATGCCCAACATCCACAATTTGTTTACAAAGAAGACCAGAACTGATTCTTCCAAATCTGTGTCTACTCATGATGAGAGTTACATTTGTTATTGCTTTTGGGACCAAAAAAGAATTATTGGATTGGATTGATAATTTAAGAGAAAAGGGTTTTTTAAAGAGAAAAGGACAATAAAAAGAAAATAAAGAAATTTTTGATGGGTATTTTGGTAATTTAATGGATTCCGTCATATGGCTTAATGGTTAGGGAGGTATTTTGTCACACGGTAAAAGTTAAGGGGGTATTTGTCGCAAATTAAAGTATAGGGGGGTTTTTGTCACTGACCCCATAGTACAAGGGGGCCTTTGTAATTTACCCAACTTATTATTTTATGGATCTACTAGCAGGGACCGTGTGATGCACGGATTTATTAAGCGAAAGCTAAATAATAGAAAAGGGTCATTTACTAAAATGCTCTTTCTAGTTTCATGGATTTAGTAAAATCTACCCTATAGTTAGCATTTTACTAAAACACCACTTATAATTTGCAATGGATTTAATCAATCTTCCATCAGATGACAGTGGAAAATGACAGTGTTGACCCTAATGTTCATTTAAATAAATTTAATCAAAAGAAAATAAAAATAAAAATACAAATTTTCCCTTAATAAGATATGAGCAACTACTCTATTGGCTATATTTGGTCAATTTTGTTTTCTGTACAAAAAAAGTGTTAAGGGTATTTTTGGAATAAAAAATAATGGGTCTAATGGAAAAACAAACACTCCTTAATGAAATATTGATTAAGTAAATAAGTTGTAAAATATATGGGATGCTTTAGTAAAATGAAAACTATAAAGTAGGTTTAAGTAAATATGTAAAACTATAAGGAGTGTTCTAGTAAATGACCCTAATAGAAACACATAAGAGTATACAATTGTTTTATATTTTCAACTTTTAAAATAATTAATAATTATTCATATTATATATACTACTTTAATAAATATTTTACAATACAAAAATAACAATAATTAACTTCAGTTAGGTTTATTCATCAAACTGATGAAACCAATCAATTCGACTCGAGTTAGTCAGTTTTCTAGTATTTTAGGTCGGCTTTGGTTAAAAAATTTCTCAATTTGACCAAGTTGGATCAATTTCACTTTGGCCATTTGTAAACCGACCAAAATCAAACGACCTAACCATGGATATATATTAATATTTTATTTTTTAAATATAATTTTTAATATGGAAAAGTGGGAAATTTCCCATATTTCTTAGTATAAAATGTTTTATATCATAAATCTAATTTTTAAATTTATTTTTAATAATTTCACTATAATTTTTAAAATTAAATTAAATTTTTAATTTTAAATCTTTTGAACCGATTGACCAAATCAAAAAAGTTGACCCAAACCAATACAACTTGAGTGGGTTGGGTTTCACAAAAGGTCAGTCAGTTTTAGTTGACCAACTCCCCAACCTGAACAAGTCAATTTGGTTGGCCAAATAGCCTATGACTGAACTGAATCAACTCATGAATACTCATAATTTCAGCTAAATTAATAATCTCATCTCTGATAAATAAAAATAGTTTAATCTCCAATAATTAGAGAAAATTTATAGCGAAAATACACAATTATTTAAAATATATTGATAATGGAAAAAATACAATAATTACAAAAATACAATAAGCACTAAAAATATATTAACTTAGCCAATAAATAGTATAATCTCGAATAATAGTTTAATCTCTAATAAATATTAATCAATAAGTTGTAACACAAATACAATAAATACAATAAGTACAATAAAATAAATTTAAAAATTTCAATAATAGTAGTTTAATCTCCAATAATTATTAAAAGTTTTTGTTAAATAACAAAACAAAATAAATTTATACATAATCATTGAAAATACATTTATCACAAAAACCAATAAATAATTACTGAGATACAATAAATATTAATTTTTGTATATATAATTATATAATAAATACAAATTAAGAGTTTAAAATTATTATTCATAAATATTAATTTTTTTGAAAGTTATTTTCTCGAATTATTACTTGATACAAGTGAAATTAGTTATTTACAATATTATGTAAAAATATTAAATTATTATTAATTTCAATATTATTTTATAATTATTTTTCTACTTTTCATAAATTTTTTAAATTTATTACATAATTTTTTTTTTTATTTTAACTATTTAAAATCTAGTTATGTTAAATATTTTGTTATTTAAAACATTTTTAAATACTTAAATAATAAGTAAAATATTTATTATTTATTGAATTTAATTATCCATAAAATCTTAATTTATACTATTATTACATAATTTCATTCTTAATTTTGTAATATATTAAATTATTATTAATTTCAGTATTATGTTATAATTATTTTTCTACTTTGAAGAAATTTTTAAATTTATTACATAATTTCCTTATTTTAACTATTTAAAATATAGTTATGATAAATATTTAAATAATCTATAAAATGTTGAAATTTTTTTTGTTATTTTAATTTTATTTCTTTAAAGCTATTACATATTATTAAATATTTGAAAAACATTGAAATTGATAATTCGGAAAAACATAATTTAAATTATTAGTACATAATTTTGTGATGTATTTTGTAAAAGTGTAAAATTATTTTTTTTTTGTTTTTAATAAATATTTTAAAGATATTATATAATTTTGTTAGAATATTTAAATAATTCCTAAATTTTTTAATCCAAACTTTCTTTAGATGCATCTAGATAAAAAGTAAGGGAGAGGATAAATAGGAATTAGAGATAATTTATRAGAGAAACTCTCTATTAAATTAGAGATAATTTTGGARATAAATAAGAATTAGAGATAATTTAGAAGATAAATAGGAATTAGAGATAATTTTGGAGAAAGTGGGGCATAGTGGGGGAGGTAGTTTAGGAGAAATTTTAGGAGAAGAGATTATTTAGGGTATTAAGAAAGTGCATCTCATTAGTTGTTTAAAAAATGACATGAAATTAAAAAATAAAAAATTCAAAAAAAAAAAGAAATTTTCTAGACTTCCTTGTTTTAATATATTAGCGGGGACCTGTGCAATGCACGGGATTTATTAAGCGAAAGCTAAATAATAGAAGGGTCATTTACTAAAATATCCCTTATAGTTTCACGGGTTTACTAAAATCTACCCTATAGTTAGCATTGTACTAAAACACCACTTATAATTTGCAATGTATTTAATTAATCTTCCGTTAGATGACATTGGAAAATGATAGTGTTGACCCTAATG